CCATTTTTTAATATAACACCCAATCTAAGCAGAATTTTGTGGCCAACTTGGGAAACTGGCTAAATCATTACATAATCACAACCATGTGATCCAATGAGCACTGGGCAGCTTTTCATCTTTTCAGGCAGACAGAAACATGCAGTATGGACTGTTTTAGAATCATCCATGCTTCAGAACTATATTAGAAACATATTTAACTAACACAAATACCCGTTTTTCTCCTTGGCTCTCTGTTATCACTCCATTTTCAGAAACAAGGTGCAGTGGATGTCAGGGACTTGGGGGAAAGGAAGAGTGAGATCTGAGGTGAACCCAGAAATCTAGAATACTGTCTCATGACCTCTCCAGCCAACCACTAATAAATATTTTTGAGCATCTAATCTTTGCTGAGTGCTAGCCCAGGTGAGACCTGGCACAGTATTGGATAACCTACACTCCATCCCTTAAAGGAGCTTAGTTTTTAATTGAGCAGAAGATGATGGGGAGTGGCTAACGCAGGAACAATTCCAGAGCAATACAAAATGACGTGCAGCAAGCACTGCTCCACAGGAGGGAGAGTACTTGATTCCAAGCTGGTCTCTATCACCATATCTGTATTATATACCTTGTGCAGTTTAGACTCCAAGTCCTATATAAACTCTGAAATAAGATGATTTGGGGCATTGAGATTTTCTAGCTAAAGAAGGGTTAAACTTTAAAAATAACACCCATACTTTTCATTAAAAATCTTTCCAAAGTTTGAGTCTGCTTTACTTTTTACATAAATAATTGCAGCTTAACAAACTTAACTACAGAGGCCAGCTTCATTTTCATTGCATATAGATGAAGATTTCACTGGACATAGACTAGAAAGACAAGGGGCTGATATGGGTGTGAATTGACTCCAAGATATACTAGAATTTACTGTAAAAGAAAAAAAAATCTCCCAATTCCTAATATTCATGTATTTCCTGGTGATCATCTTTTTTCTATTAAAGACCAGAGTGAGACCTTCCAACAAAATGAAATTCCAATTGGCTGAAATGCCATTTCACTCTAAATAATCCTTTATTAACAATAACTACTCTTCATCAGGAATCTCATCATCTCATAGGCAAGGGACCTCAATAATTGCCTTGGGGAAACAGAGGCCCAGAAAGGGGCCTATTCAAGGTCACATAGAAGTTTAATGATGGACACATGATTAGAATTCTGATCTCTTTGTTTTCAATCCCGACCTTCCTACCTCTCTAGTCTGATGCCCCATGCTTTTTTGAGCAAGGTAAAACCTACTGAGAATTCTGAGGACTTCAGCTACTAGACATAAAAATAAAAGAAACATGGCTCACAGTACCTTTGAGTATAATGAGATACTCTCACTTCCAAGTTCACTTTCTGGAAGTTCTCTGGAACAGGACTCGGTTCTCAATGCAAGGCACAGTCATTGCTATTCATATGCCATGGATTTCATCATAAAACAGACAGAGAGAAATGAAGCTCCCATGTGGCCCTCCTGTAGAGCAGACCCTCTGCATTAAAACAGTGGAAACATGGACACTTCCTGAGTGAGCAATATGATCACCTAATAGGCTAATAACAACAACAAACTTAGTTAATATGCCACTAAGGATGCCTTTGGCCATTCATAATAATAATAAACTAAACTAAACCACTCTCAAACAATGCCACTCTCAAACAATGTGGAATCTATTACAGACCTGGAAATACAGATTTAGAGCCAGTTTCCTAGTTTGCTGACTCAGTAGCTCAGTGGTTCCATCCATGACCCCAGCTCTCCATTCTTGCTGCCATTTGCAGGTATTGTCTTTACCCCAAGGTTTGCCTATCATGGTCTCCAGAGAGCCAGCAGTTGCAGGCCTCCCATAGGCATAGACTTTCTTTTCTTAAAATATATTTATATTGATATTGATTCCAGAGAGGAAGAGAGAAGAGAGAGAGATATAGAAACACCAATGATCAGAATAATTGATTAGCTGTTCCTCATGTCACCTATTGGAGATGGAGCCTGCAATGTGGGCAAGTGCTTTGACCAGGAATCAAACCATAATCTTCTTTTCTTTTTTTTAATATATATTTTATTGATTTTTTTTGCCCCCCTCCCTCCCTCCCACACATCCCCTCCCTCCCCAGAGTTTTGTGTCCATTGGTTGTACTTATATGCATGTATAAAAGTCCTTCGGTTGATCTATTATCTCCCCCAGATCTTCCTCCCCTCCCCGCTGTAATTTGACAGTCTACTTGTTGATATACTGTCTCTATATCTATCTTTTGGTTCATCAGTTTATAATGCTCTTTATTATCCACAAATGAGTGAGGTCATGTGGTGTTTCTCTTTCATTGATTGGCTTATTTCACTCAGCATGATGTTCTCCAATTCTATCCAGGTTGCTGCAAATGATGAGAATTCCTTCTTTTTTATGGCAGCATAGTATTCCATTGTGTAGATGTACCATAGTTTTTGGATCCAATCATCTGCTGACGGACACTTAGACTGTTTCCAAATTCTGGCTATTATAGATTGTGCTGCTATGAACATAGGGGTGCATATATCCTTTCTGATTGGTGTTTCTAGTTTCTAGGGATATATTCCTAGAAGTGGGATTACTGGGTCAAATGGGAGTTCCATTTTCAGTTTTTTGAGGAAACTCCACACTGTTCTCCACAGTGGTTGCACCAGTCTGCATTCCCACCAGCAGTGCAAGAGGGTTCCTTTTTCTCCGCAACCTCGCCAACACTTGTCGTTTGTTGATTTGTTGATGTTGGCCATTCTGACAGGTGTGAGATGGTACCGCATTGTTGTCAAACCATAATCTTCTAGTTCAAGCATGTCAAACTTGTGACCCACAACAAATATTTTTACAGCCTAGCCAATATAACAGTATGTAAGAAATGTTTTAATAAAAATTTCATAACTTAATTTTCACAATATCCTGTCATACATTATATATATATATATATATAACTAAGGGACCATCTGACCAGTAACTATAATACACAATGACCACTAGGGGGCAGACCTTCAACACAGAAGCTGCTGAACTATGGTGACTTGGCAGCAGTGGTTCTTGGGTGACAAACCCAGAACCAGAGAGAAGGGAGCCTGATTCAGGGGTGCATTACCCAAGAACCATCTTCTTACAATCCAGGACCCCTTTGGGGATGTCAGAGAGCTGGTTTTGGGTCTGATCCCTATAGGCCAGGCTGAGGGACCCCACCTGCCTGAGGGACCACACTCATTCCACAGACGCCCTTGGGAGGGACCACAGGAGGTTGGCTCCAGGGCATGTCCAGCCCCTCTTACCCAATCCTACCCCACAGGCCACCTTTTAATTAATTTTCTTTTAATCTGCACAAATCTATGCACCAGGGCACTAGTTATTAATAAGGAACTACAACGTTTGCTAATGTCTTATTACTATAATCATGTTGCATTCATTTCCCTTAAATGCCTTATGTGGAAGCACACCATTTCTCTCCACTAATACTAGCATCAAATATTTTAGCAGCCGATTGCCATGTCATTAGTCTTGGATTGAATTGTTTGGTTTGCACAACAGAAAACATTTCCCTCTTGGAGAACAAGAAAAAATAAGTTTATTTGTGTTATGCTTATTAATTTGTGCAGTTATTCAGTATCTGGTAAGTTAATGTTAAAGGAAAAAAATATTAATTTTATTAAAATGTTCTATTATTTTATGTTAATGACTACTCACTTATTTCAGCTCTTTGATTTCAGCGTGTCTCTACTGAAATAAACCTCCATTTCTATGAAAATTGAAGCTTTTGTTTTTGGGGGGACCCACATAAACTTAAACCTTGTTTATTTGGCTTATGTTAGCCTTGAGTTTGACATGCTTGTTCTAGTTCATAGGTTGACACGCAACCACTGAACCACACCAGCTGGGCAGGAATCACTTTCTTAAGAACAAAGAGATGTTTCTCAGAAGTTCCTGAACAAATATTCCCTCACAATACTGGGTGGAACTTGGTCAAGCACCCACTCAGAAACCAACCACAGCCTGAGGAAGGGCTCAGACCATTCATGATTCACCCCTGGAAATGGGTTTGGAAATGCACTCACCTGAGTCATATAAGCTATGGAGACAGTGGTCAGGAGGGAAGTGGGGAGACACAGGGATATGTATTCCAACCAATCAGAGCTCTGCACAGGGAGGTAGATTCTAACCAATCAGAGCTCTGCACAGGGAGGTGGATTCCGACCAATCAGAGCTCTGCTAGAGGGAGACTGAGATAGTCAGGATAAAGAGATGACCAGTGACAGCATCTGCTTCACCTGTTCTCCCACCAGGACTTCCTCCCTGTGCCAGGTGCTACATCCTGTTCCAGAGGATGAGAAGCAGGTTCCGAGACAGCAGGGAGGACACAGGGACTACCAGGACCTTCACACCTTCTAGCAATGTGGATGCTCATAGAGCTCCTTAGCAGGGATTAGGTTGACTTTCGGGAAATCTAGCTGAGGACTCTTGGGTCCATAATCCAGAGTCAATGATGTGGTGCTAAGGTGGGAATTTCAGACCAGGAATGCCGAGAGGGCATTTTAATACAGTATTTCTTAAATCACTTCTGGACTATCACTATAAGTCTACCTCTAGGACCTATAATGCAGATAGGAAATTGAAATGAGAAAGATGAAGGGGCATCAGAATTTTACTTAATTAATTTTTTTTTCTTTACCTAGTCATGTACGATGATAGAGTTTTAGCCTTGCTAAAATAAAAATCCATTTTTGGATAGCTTTTTGCTTTTCCTTTTCTTCTTCTTGTCTTTTCTTTTTATCTGTTTTTGATGCTTAAAGAGAATGGACATATTTTCTTTTTAAATTTTTATTTTATAACCAGAAGTTTGTGTGTTCTTTTATAATAAAAAAATAATAATAAAATAAAAAGCCTTTACTTAGAAAAAAATAAGTATTTCATACTTGTCATTCAAAAGACCACAAGATCTCCCCACCTTCAGAAAGAAGTCTAATGATTCTTGGGTAATATTTGAAAATAAACCAACTTTATTTGAATCAATCAATATCAATTGAGACTGGAAAACAAATTTATAACTGGTTCATATGAGGAAAACACTCAGCAATATCTTCATTAAAAGGCATTTTACATTCATTAAGGCTGAAAAGCAAGTCCTGTTATTTTATCACCACAGTTAAAGGTCTTGAGAAAATCAAGTGTCTTTATTAAATGAGATGCTTGTTTTTCCTAAAATCTAGGTATCTTTTGTTAAATTAGTTAACTCTCCAGCTTATCAAATGGGTCAACCAGGTGGTCAGGAAAGTAAGACAAATTCAAACATCAGCTGGGCATTTTATATTTTAAATATATGCATAGTCAATATTGTGAAATCTCAAGCTACATAAATATATCTTAGATAACTAGTTCCTTAAAACTATGTTTTGCCATAAAACAGATTGCTTTTATAGACACACAGATTAGAACAAACCCTCTCGTGCGGCCATCTTTTATTTTATATTTGGTTGGGGAGGGAAGGTTTGGATCTAGTTCCTTCAGTAATAGTAAATAAAACTGTGCACACTTGAATCATACCTAATTATGAAATGAAAGGGTCCTGAAACTAAGCTGGGAGGAGAATATTGACAAAGGGAGAGGAGCATGCCTTCCTGAGGCGGCACCTGCTGTTTGGTTTGAGGGCAGAAGAGCAATGAACAGAAGACAATAGGCCTGTGTGCAGAAGGGGCCTAAGGCCAGTGATGTGACCCATCAGTGCTCCTGACATCAGAACCAGGGTGCTTTGTGTGCACATTTCTTTCTCTAACACTTAAGATTCTTTTTAATGTCGGACACAAAACTAAGCCAGTGATCCCTTGGGAGTTGTGGACTTAAGTTTAACTATGAGCTAACTCTTCACCTTTCCAAGGTCTAAGACTTCATCATTTTAATCCATTCCGCTCCCGAGATGGCTCCGGGCCAAGGGCTGAGACTCATAAGACCCTCCCGGCTATCTGCTGCCTCTGGGCCAATTTAATTTTAGGTTCAGACTCCCACTGGTTTCTCAGGGTGAAAACTCAGCTAGACCTGCACCTTCCTGACTCCGCCTCCCTTTTACTTTTCTTTTTCCAGACCTTGCTGATTCCTGGGACTCTGGGATCTTTAGGGTCTTTTCCAGGTGTGATCCTTTTGTGACAACTCTACGATGTTTCTGTCGGCAAAGTGGCCAATGGACCCTGGTAGGCTGAAGAGCTTCTATTGCTTCATTTGACAAATGCTAGAAAATAGGATTTTTTTCCTAATGAAAATTCAAGATCTTTACTGGCCATCCAGCGGAAAAGTGGACACAGAGGACAGTGCTGTGCCCTGGGAAGCTGTGCTTTAGTCTGAGATCCTGTGGCCAAAGAAACTGATGTTTTTCACTTTTCTAGGCATTAGTTTTGTGCCAGGCAGCTGTGTCCCTCATTTCAAACAAGATCCTCTTATTCATGCCTGTGATTCTGAGTTGTCGGGCAATTATTTCACTGCCTTTGTCAAGAGATGAAGGCCAGCGATAAAAGGAACTATGCTCTGGATCCGTCAAGATTTTACTTACCCAGCTCATCTTTCAGAGTTATTAAAATCTTACCCAATATCTTCACTCTGGGCCAACCTGAGAGGTAGGCAGTGCTGAGTAGATGGGTAAATGCAGTATAGTCATTGCATTTGACTTGTTTCTGCCTCTGACCCTCACAAGAAGGAAGGAAGGAAGGAAGGGAGGGAGGGAGGGAGGGAGGGAGGGAGGGAGGGAGGGAGGAAGGAAGGAAGGAAGGAAGGAAGGAAGGAAGGAAGGAAGGAAGGAAGGAAAAGTCACATGACAGTAACAGTTAAGGAAGATAAATTAAAAAACAAAAACAGGATTTCAACCCTTTTGGGGCCACTGAAATGCTTTCTGTGGGAGCAATGTTCATTTGGGACCCATAACAAGGGTTGCCTCCTGTCTTAAAATTGGAATGTGGGGTCAAATTTCAAACCTTCAAGACTCTGAGTTGGTCCTGGGGACACCTAAGAACCTACCACACTTGCTGGGAGATGATTTGCTGTATATGACAAGGTGATGGCCTAGCCTCAGAAGGCTGAAGAAAAATCTCTTGAAAAAAAAATAATCAGAAGGTAATATTATTATTATTTAAAAATACTCTCATAAATCTGGCCATAAGACCTTCAATCTCTAAGTCAATAGTTGCATTATATAATAATCTAATGTTGAAATAAAAATATATTCCTGAATTAAGTATCTTTCCATCTCTAACTCCTCCCCCTCTTTTAAATGGTTATAATTAATCATAACTGCCTATTAGTGTTATTTATGTAAAATTGAGTCAGCCACAGATGGAACATCTAGAAACAACAATATTGATTTGGTTTGGCTTGTTTGTTTTTAAAAACTGCTTTTACAGACTCGCCAGTTGTTGGAATTCTGAGAATCAAGTCAGGGCTGTTAGTGGGTGCCAACACCGCTGGGGGAGCTGGCCCGCCTGGGCTCCCTGTTTTCTCTGTCCCTCGAATGTGCTTCTAGAGCAGCGCCACGTAAGGACTCTGGAACGCTGACTGCCTCTAGGGTCCTGGCCTGAGCTGCCAAGGCTGGGGAAGGATTTCACACTAATTAAAAGGCCTCCTGGGATCATTCAAGCTTTCATCCCCCAGAAGGCCAGCGGGGGCTTTCCCTTATGGTAAAAGGACTATTTCCTCACCATTTTTCCTTTTTAAACACTTTTGGGGGAAGGGGGGCGGAAGGAGAAACAAGTTTCCAGGGAATTGTGGAAAGGATCCTTTAGAGGTGAAAATGAATCAACTCATTCTGCTTTTTCAAAACTCTCAGGCTTATAAAATATCCTACTGAGCAATTTCCTCTTCCTCAGTGGGCTGAAGGAGACCCCCTGTTTCTTCCCCTCTGCTCTGATCAAGGGGTCCCCTTTTTCTCCTGAGATCCCTGGAGACAGCTAGTTCTGGGGATAGCTTGGGCTGGAATTTGTTGATGTTTGTATGGTGAGGACCCATGCTGTCCTGCCCTCCCTGAGCAATGAGTCAAGTCCTGGGGCTTGCCGGCATTTGGGAACCTCACTCGCCACTGGCAGGCAGCACAGAAGGGAGGATTGTTGAAGGTGAGGATCTGTGGCAGTGGATTTCCTCACACAGGGCATTCATAGGAGAGGGAGCTGATGATAAGTTCATTTCTCTTAGTTTCCTGTGCACTGGTCACCATACTCAAGCAGGGTAAGATTTTAAGGAGGCGAAACTCAAGAATGACTTGGGAGAGCAATATTGTCTAAAAAATAGTTTCCTTTTGTTCATCTGGTCGTTGAGTCAGGTGGTAGGAACGTTAACCCAGATGGGCATACCTGTTTCCTTCAAGTTCAAACCGCATGGTTTCCCAGTCAGAAAAGCTCGAGGACTTTCTTCCTAAGGTTCCATGACCATGCCACCTCCTCATTGTGACTCTCCCCCAGGGGAGGCTGCGGCTGGATCAGCCCGGAGCAGCTGCCTGCGAGCCCCCAGGTGGCAGATCCGTATCCAGGAACAACCTCAAGAGCCTGCAAAGTCATTTTTGGCCAATTCTTGGGTTTTTGCTATAAGGTTGGTAATTACATGCCAACATCAGTTCAAGACTTAGTTTAGGAGAGAGAAGACCTGACTTCAAAATTTCCAGGGAACATTGAGCATCATAAAGGATATTTTAAATCTTCACCCTTCCCTCCACCTCCCATGCTCTTCTACTTTCTCACAGACCAAAATTCACTTGTAGATAAACATAGTCAAACCCAGGCATGTAACCTGCAAAGAAGCAACTACCCCTAAGCAAGCAAACCCCATGGCTGGTAGACCCCTAGGGCCTTTTGGCATCAATGCTGCTCCCTTCCCCTCCTCCCCCATGCCCCCAGTTTGGAATTGATGCCAATTTCCTTTCCTGGCAAGGCCTGGACAGTATAAACACAGAGGTCGGTGTCAGCCAGGTACACGATGGCACCGTGACCGTCAGAACACTGCAATGAACTGAGACTGGGCCTGACGTGGCTTTCCAGTCTGGCCTTCAGAGTCCAGGAGTTTCAGGAAGTAGTGAGTGACTCAAGGTGTGTCTGCCCGATGTCAAAATCCACAACCTGCTTGGTCCCTCTCCATTCACTCTCTCCGACCCCTGAGAGCAGGGGATCTTTATGTAATAAGAGCTAAGATGGCATTTGTCCTTGGCCTCGGAGTTACGAACAAAGAGGAGGAAGGAAGAGAACAGGGCGTTGCAAGTTTCTAATGCATCTGAGGAGATGTTTTGATATTGGCAGAAGGGGCCAGTGTAACACTGACCCCAAATACGCTGAACCCAGACTGGACCCAAAGGCTGAGAGCTTGACTAGGTCTAGCATTTCTGCTTGCGGAGTCCTGTGTGATCAGATGGGCTGGCGCTGACCTTCACTAAGATGGCAGGCTGGAGTTTGAATGATGCTAGCAAGGCATGGCCTGACCATTAAAAACGTGTCCCGAGGCAAAGTGGAGGGGGGTCTGTGAAGAGGAGTCCTTTGGGAGAAGCTGAGTTCTGCAGCAGTGACGGGGCGAGATGGCCAAGATGGCCGAGCTCAGGATCGGCTGAGGCGCTTGGCGACGTCGGCGTAGGCCAGCTCGATCTCTGAGTCAGCGGCACAGGTGTTGGTGAACTCGTCCCGGGCGTAGGCGTTCTTGAGGTACCGCCACAGGCCTGTCATCTCTGCCGGGAAGTCGTAGTTGCGGTATTTCTTGGCCACAATCTACAACAGAGATGGTGTTAGAGCAGGAAGTAAGGCATTGAGGAGGTGTTAGGGTGAGACCCAGGATGTGTGCACAGCAAATCCTCTACCCCCTATGCATCACACCAGACCAGCAGCAAAGTGTCTGATGCAAAGGGCCAATGCTGCCTCTGTATTTTATTTTGGTTTGCATTCTTTTATTTTATATTTCTTAAATTAATGTAATATTCCCTTTGACCTAATCATTCTGCTTCTAGGGATTTTTCCTTAGGAAATAATCATGAATATACACAAAGATTTAGCTACACGTATGGGATCACAGGACTGTTTGGAATGGAAAAAAAAAAAAAAAAAAAAAATGGTACACAACACAAGATGTCCAGCAACATATGACTGAATGAACACATTATCATACATAAAGGCAATGGTATCCTGGACAGGCAGTAAAAATGATGCTGCAACAAGAATTCCAGTGACCTGAAGAACTCTTCCGGGTATATCATTAAGTTTAAAGTACAAGATACTTGGAGAAATATATATGATGACTATTATTATAATTATAATCAAATTGTTTCCTATGTTTCCGTATCCACTTTATTTTACATAAGATCCTTATTTATAGAAGGGAATCCTATGTAATAAAAGCCTAATATGCTAAGTGTCCAGTCATGTGGTAGTCCGTTCAACCAATCAAAGTGTAATATGCTAACGATATGCTAAGGCCACTCAACCACTCGCTGTGATGTGCACTGACCACCAGAGGGCAGACAGTAGACCAATCAACCAGTGACTATGAACTGCACTGACCACCAAGGAGCAGACAGTAGGTTAGCTTGCTGATGGGGGTTCAGCCAATCGGGACTGAGAGAGGAGCGGGCCTATAGCCATCAGTCAGACATCCCCTGAGGGCTCCTGGACTGCGAGAGTGTGTAGGCTAGGCTAAGGGACCCCCCAACCCCCACAAGTGCACAAATTTTGTGCACTGAGCCTCTAGTAAAAACATAAAAAGTAAGTTATATATTGAATGTATATCTAGGTTCCAGGTATATGGGAGTGAATAAAGCGATTTCTGTTCTCTCCCTATTTGCCACACTGGGCGCCATGGACTTGGGCATTCGGGAAGTAGTGTTCATGTTGAGAGTTGCATAATGGTTAAAAGCACAGGCTCTGGATCCCAACTGACTGGATCTGCAATCCTGACTCCACTACTTAACAGCTATGTGACCTTAGACTAGTTACTTAATCTGTCTGAGCCCCAATTTTTTTTTTTTTTTAATCTCTAAAATAGAGGTAATAATAGGGCTGGTCTTACATAGGGCTGAGCAGCATAGTGGAGAGAACTGTAGAGACACATAAATTTAGTTAACACACATAAATGCTTGGAGGGGTGGCTGACTCAGACTCAGTGTTCAAGAAACATGACATACTGTTATAATTCATTGAGACCCACCCTTTACCCATTTGCATTGCATTCCTTCATAGGTTGGGGCAGGGTGTTCTCTTTTATCAGGTCTCACAGCCAGGAGGGCTTCACAGACATGTGGCCTGTGTGGTCATAGGGGCCTCATGCTCTTGGTTTAACGCTGTGTTGGCAATGTCTGGAAGTTTTGAATACTTTATATTCAAATATAATTTTCCCTTCTATCAGTCATTCTGCTTCTAGGGATTTTTAATATAATTTTCCCTTTGACCTAGTCATTCTGCTTCTAGGGATTTTTCCTTAGGAAATAATCATGAATGTACGCAAAGATTTGTACACATGAGGGCTTGCACATTAGCTGGTCCTTCCTCTAACCTCACAGGGGCTGGGGTGGGGATAGCCAGTGTCATCTCTCTCTCCCTCCTAAACACAGATTTCTGACTCCTTCCCTTGCTTTCTTCTGAGACAGGGGCCAATGGTCAGGATCTTCCCACTCAGAGAACCCCCAGATCAGCCCCCATGGACTTTCACCTCATTTTGCTGCCAGTGATGTGCAGGGTTCCCCGGAAAGCTATGCTGAGTGGCGAACAATGACGACCCACTGCATGAAAGGCTCAGCCTCCTAGATATCATATTTCCAAGGAGGATTCATTCCCTCCTACGTCAGTTTTGAACTTCTATTACAACACTGATATTGTTCTACTCTGAATCACAGTCACTGTTTTAGTGTCTCTTGCTCACTTCCCTAGGTGTGAGCAGGGCAGGAACCACAACTTCTTCATTCCTGTGCCCCTCTATAATCTCAACAATGCTCTTGATGAGAGTAACCACTACAGCAAACCTTTCCCATGTGCTCTACTCCAGGCACTGCTGTGAGCACTCTGCAAGTTACTTAAATCTCTAAATAACTATAAGGCAGAGTGTATTATAGTCCCATTCTGCAGATGAGAAAAGTAAGATAAAGAGGTTCAATAAGCAGGGATTCCATAAGCAGTTATATTTCATCTTTACCATCTGCAGCTATCCCAACATCAAAGTGTGGTTTGTGTTAAATGTAATCAAACTGCTTAATTTTAAAGACTGAATGTCCTTAGCAATGAGCAAACTGAAGCCACCAGAGATTTGGTGGCTTACACAATGTGACACAGGAAAACAATTAATTCAACCAATATTACAGAATAATCACTAATATTTATTATAGTCCCTGCTTTCTAATCCACAGGTCTCTCCACTTTGCCACTCAGGCCTGTGTAAATGACAAAGGACTAGCTCTCCTGGGAATCCCTCCAGTGCCAGTTATGCCTCTCTTGTTGCTTTTCTATAAACACACCTTGTATTTGCTTCTTTGTGGTGCTGGGGCTAAGACTGCTCAAATCATACCTCTGTTCCCTGTTAGGCTCTACCAATAAGGGGCGCTAGAAATAAAGCCTGTGATGGTGAAGGAGGGCAGAGGGAGTTGCTCCTTCCAATTGGCTTCCTGTTCATGCCAGTCTTATTTGCTCCTTATTTGCAGCTGCATCCAGTTAGCTGTTTTGCCAGCACACGGGACCTGTGCCATCACACCAGCTCAGAAAGGCCAGCACCCAACAGTGGCCCCGTGGCAGAGGTTCGGTCCCAGTCTCACCAGCCGTCCTCTGAACTTGGCCCCCAGCATCAGCTGAGCAGCACCCCACCTCAGAGGTCCAAGGCCCCTCATCAAAGTCTCTACGTTTTAATAATCCCAAGCTCTTCCATTTGCACCTCCTGTCCTGGGAGTAGTAGCTGCCTCCCAAAGGTAGAACTTCATTGTTCGTTTTGTCTTCCTAGTCCTTCAGTACTTACTGCCTTTTTATATTAAAATCTCTCAGTAAAAATGACCTGTTTGATGTAGTTACCGAAGAAGGCACCCCCTCCCTGCTCTGTCCAGCTCAGGTGTGGCTAATAAGGAAAGGCAGTGGAACCAGAGCCTTCAGCATGACACCCACCGAGAGGGAATGCTGGGGCCAGTGCCCACCAGTTCTCCTTGGTCTCTGCTCCCTGCAAGTTAGGGCCCCTGGGTTTGCCCACAAGCCTTTGGAAGAGGCCGTCTTGGCTAATGAGCAAATCCATGCAGGAGTGGTGGATTACTGATGGATAGACGGTTTCAGGTCTCTCCATGCTGGAATTTATCTTCAAGCATTTAAAGGATATCCTATGAGCTTGAAAACAAGAAATGCAATATATAAAAATATATTCATGTTTGCTGCAGGAGCTGGACAGATCACAGCCCAGGCAATGGCCCCAGCGGAGGCTACGAAAGGCCCGCCATGTCCTGCCTGCCTGAATCTGTGTGCCCGCCTTTGTCACAAAACTGTTGTTTCCTTGGGTGTTGACTTCACTTGGGGTGATGAGACCTAGAAGGGAGCCAGACGAATAGAGTTCAAACCAGGCACTCAGTGAGCACCTGGGCCAGAGCCACTTGGCTTCCATGGATGAAGATGAACCTGAAAGAGAGCCAGGAGGGAGGGAGGTGGGAAGGGAGGAAAGGAGAGAGAGAGAGAGAGAGAGAGAGAGAGAGAGAGAGAGAGAGAGAGAGAGGAGAGAGAGAGGGAGAGAGGAGAGGGAGAGGGAGAGAGAGAGAGAGAGAGAGAGAGAAGAGAGAGAAGAAGAAGAAGAAGAGAGAGAGAAGAAGAAGAGAAGAAGGAGGAAGAGAGGAAGCGAGAGAGAGAGAGGAGAAGGAGAGAGAAGAAGACAGAAGAGAAGAAGAAAAGCAGAAAGAAGAAAGAAGAAGATAGAAGAGAGCAGAAGAAGAAGAAGAAGAGAAGAAGAAGAAGAAGAAGAGAACAGAAAGAAGAAGAAGAGAAGAAGAAGAAGAAGAAGAAGAAGAAGAGGAAGAGGAGGAGGAGGAGGGGAGGGAGAGGAGGGGGGGAGGGGGGGAGGAGGAGGAGGAGGAGGGGGGGGAGGAGAAGGAGAAGGAGGAGGGGAAGGAGGAGGGGAGGAAGGAGAAGGAGAAGGAGAGGAGGAGGAGGAGGAGGAGGAGAAGGAGGAGGAGAAGGAGAAGGAGAAGGAGAAGGAGAAGGAGAAGGAGAAGGAGAAGGAGAAGGAGAAGGAGAAGGAGAAGGAGAAGAGGAGAGGAGAGGAGAGGAGAGGAGAGGAGAGGAGAGGAGAGGAGAGGAGAGGAGAGGAGAGAGACAGGAAGAGAGAAAGGAGCGCACATAAGAGTGAGAGGGTGAGATTCGCACAGGAAGCTCTGGCGTTTGCAGGGACTTCCAGGCTCATGTTCTGAATTTGCTCTTTCATATGAAAACAGTTAGCTCCCACAGCCCAGATTAAGTTTTGGCGTCAGAAGCCAAGCTGGAGGCCTGACTTGGCTCCCCTCCGCTCTTTCTACACTTCAGAGGTTTGCCAGGTCTCTGGGATCTGATAAGCTGGATCAGCAGAAATCCAAGGAGACAGGAGGTGAGGCCCAGCCTTTGTCCCTTGCAGGCCATCCTCCTCTGATCCCAGCCTCTCCCAGGGAACCACTCACTGAACTCCTTCCAAGGACAGGGGCGTAGCATTCTTTCAGGGCTGGGAGGAACTGAAGAGATTATAGGATGAAAGCACAGGGCCTGGGAGAGCCGTTTGTTTACCTTATTCAGCAAGCGATTCTTGAGCGGGTAATCAGCACATGTTTGAGTGAGAGAGAAGGAAGGAGGGAAGAGGGAGAAGAAGAGAGGAGGAGTAGAACCCATATCTCTTCTTTCAGGAAAGAGAAAAATGACTTCCAGAAAGAGTAAATGGCCTGCCCCAGCTTGCAGGGAGCAGAGACCAAGGAGAACTGGTGGGCACTGGCCCCAGCATTCCCTCATGGTAGGTGTCGTGCAGAAGGCTCTGTTCCACTGCCTTTCCTTATTAGCCACACCTGAGCTGGACAGAGCAGGGAGGGGGTGCCTTCTTCGATAACTATCAATACATCAAACAGGTCATTTTAACCGAGAGATTTTAATATGAAAAGGTAGTAAGTACTGAAGAACTACGAAGTTCTACCTTTGGGAGGCAGCTACTACCCCCAGGGCAGGAGGTGCAAATGGAAGAGGTTGGAATTATTAAAACATAGAGATCTGGTACCAGTTATAAGACCAGAACTTGGGCCTCCTGACTTTTAGGATGGATGCCTTTCCATTACATCACTAGGTCACAGTATGACCGAACTGAAGTCAGATCATCCCACAGGTGTCACTTGTTCCTCAGGAAAAGAGAATAAAGGATGTTTTGGGGGTGGAGTGGGGCATGCGCTACTTAATAACTTCAAAGGATGTTGCTTGGCTGCACCCACCATCCACCATTGGCTTGGCCCTGAACCCAAAGTGTCTTCCTATGGATAGGCTGTATCTGCCCAGCTCATCAGCACTGCTGTGCGTGATTCCCTGCCAGGCTCAGCTCATGCCGAGCCCATGGGAACACCAGTGCACACCCAGCCGAGTGATTTCAACTGAAGCTAGTGTGTGCTGTGATTGGAGAGTAGCCTGCGTATCTAGCCCAGGACCTTAGCTGATCAATGACTGAGTCTGATTCTTCTCAGTGAGAGGTAGACAGACACTGAGTATCATAAAGACACAACTAGATGATAAAACAATCGATCAATGGTATTTCTTAAAGGGCCACCACTATATGCCCATCATCATGCTTAGAGAAGGCCCTGTCTTACAGAGCTTATTGTCTGAGACAATAAGACATAAACATGTGTACAAATAGAAAACAGTCTAATTCGGCCCCATTGCATTTTTCTCCAGGCTGACAAGGGCCAAAAAAGGGTGTGAGAAGTGTTGGTTTAGAGAAGTGTGGTGGACTCACTGCTGTCTTCAAATGAGATGAAAAGGACAGCCCTGCCCCATGCTGTTCCAGAGAATAACGGATAGCAGGGGGCCAGTTGGAATGCTGTTTTAATCATCTGAGTTATCCAGAGTGGTGGGGCTGGTTTCTGAGGCAGAAATGTGAGGCCACAGATGCACAGGAGCCTGTCACAGCTGTGATGGATGCACAGAAAGTGGCCCAGTTTGGGAAGAGACATTGTATGGGATAACCTCGGAATTCTCTTCTTTCCAACTCACAAATCCTAAGATTCTTTTAGGAAAGGATTACTCTGCCTGTCAAAGGTGGTCAGAAAGTAAAATAGTAAAACAATGATGTCCCTTCTTGCAGCCTCTATCCCTTCAATTGATAGAGGAGGAAGAGGGGTCACCTGCCGCCCTAAGAAGTTGCTAGTGGGAATGAGAAGGTGGGTCTGTGCGCATGTGAGCACAGTTAATACAGACATGAGGGGTGTGGCCAGTGGAAACCTGTGAGGAAGAAGAGGCAAGGAACAGGCTTTTGGAGTGACAGGACTTTGTATAACTATACATGATAACGCAATAACAGCTATTATATTTTGAGTCCTTACAATAACATGCACTTCATGCATGTTATTCTCCCAACAACCCTAGAAATAAGCAATCTATGGGTGAAAACTAAACTATACGGGGAGGCTATACAGCCAGTACACACTGGAGACTGGTTTGGGGTCCCTATTCATGTGACTTCTCAACCAGCAGGTGGCACTATCCTTGACTTAACCACACAGTTTAAGATGGAGTTGGATCTGGCCAGCACCTGTGGGAGAGGTCTCTTACCTTGACCACGTGGAGTTTGGGCAACAGATTGCAGTCGGCCAGGGTCAGCTCATCCCCATCCAGGAACTTGCGCCGGGACCCCCTGTCATCGTCCCCACAAGTGTTGGCGTCGATCTCCTCCGGCAGAGGAGTGCTCAGGTAGTCATCCAGTTTCTTCAGTGCCTTGTTCAGGCCTCTCTCAAGGGCTGGCATGAGACAGCAAAAGAAGTGTCTTTAGTCATCCCTGCCACTGGTTACAGCCACAGTCTTCACAGTGAAATGGCTTACCCCGAATCCGGTTCCCCTCATCCCACTACCAGCTCCCCAAATACAAATACCTGGCAGCTATTAGCACGATGCAGAAGAGTATCAAGTAGCCTGAAAAAAGAGACCTTGACCAAATCCTTTTTAAGGACAGATAGATGTTATATAGATGATAGATAGATAGATGATAGAGATGCAATCATTGGCATACAGATCAGAGCTTAGTGCTTATCTTCAGAAGATGTAACAACAGCCAACTTTCATTTTCCTTTCTTGTGTATGTATATTTTCCCAATATCCCACAATTAACCTTTACATAAAGAAAGGCCTGTTAAATAACTAATAACTGTAATAGCAGCCCTAGGACAGAGATATGCACCAGATTTTGTGGGAGCATTGACCATAGCTAACCCAACCTGTGAAGGGAGGGAACAGTCTTCCTGGAGGACAAGACATAGGAAAGTGGGGGCCCCTGCTTGGCACTGCCCCCAGAGAACCAGTGGGTGTCAGGAAGTTGCTCTAAAAATCAGTGCCGTCCAAAAGGAAAGGGCCAGGGCCCAGGAGGCGGGCTCCACTGGGAACGTGCCATCACAGCCGAATGGAAACCTGCCAAGGCCGCAGCTCTGAGGATGAACATTTATAGGAAGAGAAGGTGGCAGAAGTCTTTGACAGTTTTGACCCAATAATTATCTCTCCACTTATTCGTTTAGTCTCAAGAGCAGAACAAAATGCTCAATAGAATAACTCCAGGAACTCACTCTCACTGAGTCGTTCCACCCAGAATCGCACAGACCACTTCATCATGGAGCGTTGACATGGCAACTGCCCACCTGAGCCCGGAGCAGGGAGCTGGAGGTGGTGGCTGGCCGCGTCACTCAATGGCCACTGCACCTGTTTCATCAGCTGCAGCCCCCACCAGCTGGATTTCCCACACTCTGATGCTGAGATCAGAGGATTCAGTCCTGATATTAACTCTAGCGAATAAATGGGAGGTACTGTCCCGGGAGGAAGATCCTAGGGACTGTCTCCTGTTCAGAGTTTTGCAAATGTGCCTCCTGTTAGCCACTCCTCACATAACCCGAGACAGTCTTTTCATAGAAGGCCTTTTGTTTGAGACAATGAGATGACACCAGCCCAAGATAAATGAATCAAATGCTTACTGGAATGTTTAAAAACAGACTGGAGGTTGGCCATAGTTTCTCAATACTTCCTTCTCCCTGGTGTGGCATTTGAACTTGAACTTCATCATCTGCTTTGTGTTTCCAGCTTGGGAGAACGGAGCAAGCAGAACTCGGGGAAATGCTTGTATTCCCCTTAGTAACTGTCTAGACTGGGATGGGATTGGAAGCCTATTCAAGGGCAATAGCTGAGGGTGGGTACCCAACAACACTTATTATGCTCCCTCCCCGCCCTCCAAGGACTTGTGATTTATATTGGGTTTGTTTGCATCCTTAAATCCTCTAACCTTTTCAGTTTGGAAGATTATGATAAAATCTTAATTAAATGTAGAAAGAAAAAAATCTAGTAGAGTGCCTGTTGAAATTTGACCATCTGATTATCATCCAAGGGGAAGAGACATATGAAGGGAAATGAGACAATACAGGTTCTGATTCCAAATGCCCTGAGCAGGCCTCTGCTCAAATCTGTGCCCAAGTCACTGGGTCTGGGAATTGTCATGTCATTCTGGTGAAAGAGGCCCAGCCCAGGATAGCAATGGGAGCTTCTTGGGTGGCTTGTTCTGGGTAGTTACAGAATAGTCATGGGAATGTAAAGTGTAACACAGGGAATATAGTCAACATTGTAATAAGCAGGTATCGTGTCAGACGGATACTAGTTTTATCGGGGGTGGATTACTTGGTATGTTATATAAATGTCTAATCAGTGGAATGTACACCTGAAGCTAATATAATATTGTAGTTAACTGTGTTTGAAAATTAAAAATTATTTTAAAAAGTTAAACTGTCTCTCCAGTGACCTCTTGAGATGGAAAGGTAAAATTTGGCAATGGGCGTAGTTGTTGCCTTAGCCACAGCTGAGTGGCCCATCCTGAGTGTGTCAGCTTCATCACTTCTCTCTGCGTGTTTGGATCAGGAATGTGAAGGTGCAGCTGGTGGGACTTATGGTAGAGAGAAGAGGAGAAGAGGCGGGAGGGATGGGGCCGTGTGGTCTGGAGCTAATCCTGTACTTAAATTTTGACCCTGCCCAGGATGGATCTACTGTGAGGCTGCTAAGGCTTACACTTCAAGGCCCCAGGATTGTGTGGACCTTTTCCAAGACCCTGAAGTTGACTTTTAAAATTATTTATTAGTATTTATTGTATTGGCTTCAGAGCCTGCAAATCTTGAAAACATCCTCCATCTTGGCACTTACTAAATATGACCTGGGGTGAGTTTCTCAACTCCAAAGGGCTTCTGTTTTCCCATCTCAACTATGGGACTAAAAATCTCTAACCCTCATGCAGCCACTGTGAGATTTACTCTGATTATTCAGGGACAGTGCCTGGCCCATCGTAGGAATGATCGATAGCTACTGCCATTGCATCACCAAGTGTGACAGTCACCCTGCTCTCAGGCCCTCACCCCACACGCTTGGTCACTGTGTTTCTGAAAAATCCAAGGTGTGGCAGAGAGTGAGAGGTTCTGAGAAGCTCCAGTGTGAAGCACGATCCCCCCTGAGGAGGAAATAAACAGCCAGATGGACCTTCTGCTTCTGCCGACTTAATATACAATCACAGCCCCGACCCTGTGCCTCTGGGGACCTTTCTCAGGGACAAGCCATGCTGAGGCACAGCCAGAGGGAATAGACCCGCAGGCCTGTGTGCTAACACGCTGCCTATTATCGAATAACAAGTGCCAGCGCCAACACACTGCCTGCCAGGTCTTTTCCGTCCTACCTGCCAACTCAGTGCTCTGACCCTGGCTCAGTCTGGCATCCGTGGAACTTAATTATCTCTTTCGCCGAGAGCACCCAGGCCACAGAACTGATGGTGTTGCACTTCCTGCTCTGGTGAGAGTGAGGGGATGTAAAGGCAACCAGAGGATGTTGATTCCCTCAGTGTTTGCATGCAAAGCCCTCTCTCCAAAAACTTCTTCTGAATAGCAGGATGGGTTACCCTCAGACCGCAGCAAACAAGCCTGAGGGCAGGGGACCCCGAGACTCAGAACCACTAACATCCCAGGCACTTGATGGATACCCAGGCCTTTAACTGCTTCTTCCTCTCTCCACCCCTTCCCATAAAGATTTATTCTGTACCACACACAAACGCACTGGGTAAAATATGGGATGAGGAAACAAGGGGGAATAGTTCATAAATATCCTCAGCCATATGCAAACAATCTCAAATTTATTTTGCTCTTTTTTGAGGAGGGAAAAAAATATCCACCCATTCCATGATCGCTTCCAGATTCATTGAGGTTGATATTACATAAGACCCAATATTGTTTTCTTGTCATAGAGAAATAATGACTTGGGAATGGCAATTTGAGCTAAGAAAATAGTATACTCTTACCAGGGCATGGAGGCTGCATGGGGACCCAGGAGCCAAGACGCCAGCTCTGCCTCCTAAAGGCTCTTGCAAGCACAGCTCAGCCCTGGGCCACTGGCGAGCTCTGTGCACCCAGGCGCTCACCGGCACACAGCCATGCAGACCCCTTGCTCGCGCAGAGCAGATGCCAAAGGCACTCCTTGAAAGACAGGCCCGGCTCTGGGGGCCCAGGGTGCTGTGCTCAGTTTCCCTGGCTTGTGAACTTGGGAGAGATAAGAACCAAGGGTCCCCTCTGATGACATCTGCAGGCTGGATGGGGGTCTATTCATCTCTCCATGGACGAGACTGCGGCTATGGGGGCTGGTCCCAGGGCCAGCACCAGCCGTCCCACTGGGTTCCTCTCCTCGCTCTAGTCCTGCTCCCAGCACCAGCAACAAATGCACTGACTGAACGTCTGAGGTGGCCCACCGGGATGCTTACACCAGCTAGTATTTAAATATGTAGTGAAGCTATTGAGATGCACCTTCGTATTCATCTCCTTGTCGCAAAGAAACAGGTCTCCGACTTATCAAAGGCTCACATGTGCAAGCAAACTGTTCAAACCACTACTGGCGTACAGAGAAAAGGTACCTGCCTATTTTTAACTGTATGATTTTCCAACAAGCTCCCCACTCCCTTGGTGGTAGGAAAACAACTTCAATGTAGTGTCTTCTGGATTTTAACTCAGTCTGGGGTCATAATCAAATGGTCCCTGCAGAGAATTCCCAGTCGCTTTTGCATAGAAATGTTGTTTCTCAGACAGTCCCCTTGTCTGCTCTTCTCCCTGAGTCATGGGGGGGGGAGGGGGGAGTCTCCTGTGACCTCATGGCACCCTGGAGCTATGAGTCCCGGGACCCACGGGGTAGAAGGTCTGGGGAAGGTGGCACAAGTCCTGCATCTCTTCCCAGTTACGCTGAACCTACTTCCTTCCAGAGTAACCACAAGGTGCTGCCCCTAGAGTGTGGTCAGAGATGGGATGCTGGCCCCCCTCCAAAACCCTGGAAGGATACAGAGCGAAGTGCCCCATGGGGCTTTACGGACATGTCTCTAGTCCCATGGCACCCTTGCCTGCCTCCTCTCCATCCCCAGCCCCCTGGCAAGAAGGTGTGGCCTTTCCTATGTCCACCACAAAGCAGCAAGCCTCCCTGTGAGCTGAGCCCTCCAGGCCTGGCTCTTAATGTGCTAAAATTAAGAACTAAAGAAAAGTTAAGACAATGGCTTGGCTTGCAAAGCTACTGTCTTGTTGCAAATGCTATTTTAAATATCAGAAGCTAAATATTGAATTTCTTTTTCTTTCTTGGAATTTCTCTAAAGAAACCCTCATTTCTCATGGGACTGATGGATGCCTAGGGCAGATTAGAATCAGGAACTCAGAGAGGCAAAGAGAAAATATTTTAAAAATAGCAACCCTACTATATG